CTCCTCCCCCAAAAAACAACCCCAAAAACAAAACAAAAACAAAAATAACCAGAAAAAACAAAACTTCAAGAAGCCTACCACTCATGTCCAGAGTAATGTCTTGAGCTGTGAACGTCACGTACGACACACCATCCTCAGAGAGACCCACCGACTTCACAGACAAGTTGCAGTAATAGTTGCCTCCGTCGTGGCGGTAGAAGCCAATCCATTCCCTGTGGTGGTTGAAAAGACTTTTCCACGTTCTTATTGCAGCTGCGAAAGAAGAAAACAGATATATGTTTAAGTTTTAGTTCTATTTTGAGTTTTGCGGCACTTGCAACACAATAAGGTCATATATGTGCTGGAGATTAGACTAGGTGTTACAAGAGAGTAACAAACACAAAAAAAAAGGAGGAGAGATCAGGACGATAGATGTTTAAGGAGCAAACCACATCAGAGCACCCGCCAACCACCCACAAAAACAGATATTATTATTATTATTAATATATATATATAATAATAATAATAATAATAATAACAATAATGGACACCAGAGAAACTCCAGTTTGCATTTAGTAAGTTTTTCTATGTGTCACGACGCGGTGGAATCAGGCTCTTGTCAGTTTTGGGACATGAAGAGTTATTGGTATCATCTTAAAGCTTGTTCATTTGTCTTGCTTTGGATGAAAAAAATATCCATTTATCTTGAATAGAATTCGAGATATTTGCGAAGGAAGGAGGTGGGGGGTCACCTGGTTTCAGAGGTAAAATTAATGGGAAAAAGGCAGCCAAAGATGAGTTATTTCCTTAGCTTGAGAGTCCGTGGATACTGAAAATTTACATTTTTGTATGCCTTTAATCATAGTCTTTCAGTAAAATCCAAATGTGTTCTTGAATTGGCATGAAAGGTGTTGTGCCAAAAAATGAAAATTCGATAAAAATTCACAAACCTGCAGATAAATGCCAGTTTCTTCACTTTGATTATTTTGACGAGTGCATGATTTCACAACGCTGCCCCACATATTGTAATACCCATTAGATGTGAAAGGATGACAGATGAGAATGACTGTTCTATGGAACATTAGATGTGAAAGGATGACAGAATGACTGTTCTATGGAACATAAGATGTGAAAGGATGACAGAATGACTGTTCTATGGAACTGTTAATGTAATAATTGATCTGCCTTATAAAAACCTTTGAAAGAATTGAAATTATAAATAAGATAAGATATAAACAAATCTTAATTGTCCAGGCACTAATACTTTGGTTTCAGATTTCACCACACACACACACACACACACACACACACACACACACACACACACACACACACACACACATACCAAAGCATGCACTTGCACATATACACCCATACACATACATTCTCTTACAAACACATACACATTCAGACATATTTGCTTTCACATACAAACAGACCCAGTCCCACATTATATTAGGCTATGTGATACAAGAAAAGAACAATTATTGCTAATAATAAGAGGAATGTATTTTTTCTGGGGGGTTTTTTGGTAAGTGTTTTACGGTGCTCGCAACTGCATAAGGTCATAAGAGCGCGCGGGACACACCTAATATTTTTAGTTGGTAGAAGCCTACTCTTATCGATTTTAGACCACCAAGGGATCTTTAACGTGCGCAACTTTATACGGGCCCTCCGAGATTTTTCGCCCTTGTCTGAGAAGGCAAGGTGTAGATCTTTCCTACCAGAAGATCAGGGGTGTGGCAGAAAGACAGCTGTAAGAAGGAGTCAAGGAGTAGCAGTAGAAAGGCTGCAGAAAGAGTCGGGAGACCAGAGGAGGGGGGCAAAGGAGGTGAGGGAGTAGGGGCAGAAAGAGGAGACGAAAGCAGCCGATAGAACATTGCTAGAGAGCAGGAAAGGAGGTGAAAGGAGACAAATTTAGAGAAGAAAATTTTTCGGTCGCTACCAGGATTCGAACCCGGGACCTTTTAATGAGAGGCCAACACCTTAACCTCTAGGCCACGAGAGCCCCCAGAGGAATGTTTAAGCTAGCTATATATAGCCATTACTGTGATAGTAATCTGATGATATTCTGATAGTAACATGCTTTTAAGATTATAGAAATACTTATTTTAAATGATGATTTAGACCGTAGGAGTTGAAAATATGAGATTTAAGCGGCGATGCCACTGACTGAAGTGTCTTTAAGCTATTCCCAAAGGGGGGACATTTCAGTAAAATTGTAAATGGGCTGATCCAACAATGTCATGCTCGTAACTGTGCCTGAACTACAACAGGGAACAGGAAACACAAACAAAAACCCCCCAGAACAAAACACTTGTAGTCTGCGGAAACAGCCAGATATCACTTGCTTGTCACATCTATCACTCTCGTTCTACATCAAACACAAACACAAGCTGTCTTTGCATGGATACTGTTTCGAGTAATATCTGCAACTATAACAAACCATAAGGTTTTTTGGTTTTAAATTCCTTCTCATTCCTTTTTTTGTACTAAAAATATTCACTGGAACAAAAAAAAATATCCTTCGTGTGAAAACATTACAGATAAAAATTTGTTATTCATTATTTTATTCAAACCCGAAAGACAAAAAAAAAAACCAAACAAACACAAAGGAGCAAAATATGAAAAAAAAAAGTGTGTACGACTGTTATGGCTGAGGAAAGAGATTTTGTTTGTTTTTTGTTTTTGTAAAGTGTTTTACGGCGCTCGCAACTGCATAAGGTCATATGAGCGCGCGGAACACACCTAATATTTTCAGTTGGTAGGAAATTTTGAATTTTGCCCGGGTGGCGGCCGAAGCCTACTCTTATCGATTTTAGACCACCAAGGGATCTTTAACGTGCGCAACTTGCACACAGGCCCTCCGAGATTTTTCGCCCTTGTCCGAGAAGGCTAGGTGTAGATCTTTCCTACCAGAAGATCAGGGGTGTGGCAGAAAGAGATTTAAGAGAAAATAATCATGATCACTTACTATCAGCGTCTGCTACACGGCCGGTGTCTTGAGCTTGAGCACGGCACAAAAGGCACAACATGACAAAAATATTTGCTGCGAGGCTGCTACATCTTGCCATTGTCGTCATGATGAGAGGTTGTTACCTGGGCAGGAATGCTGACAGTCTGAAAAAAATATTTAACTTTAAGTAATTCAATACCATCATTATTGCGTAGGCCTACCCTATAGTCACAGGTAGGCTACTCATAAAAACACCAAAAAATACAATCCTTAACTCGTTTTTTTTCTGTAAAGTGTTTTACGGCGCTCGCAACTGAATAAGGTCATATGAGCGCGTGGGACACATCTAATATTTTCAGTTGGTAGGAAATTTAAAATTTTGCCCGGGTGGAGGCCGAAGCCTACTCTTATCAATTTTAGACCACCAAGGGATCTTTAACGTGCGCAACTTGCACACGGGCCCTCCGAGATTTTTCGCCCTTGTCCGAGAAGGCTAGGTGTAGATCTTTCCTACCAGAAGATCAGGGGTGTGGAAGAAAGACAGCAGTAAGGAGGAGCCAAGGAGTAACAGTAGAAAGGCTGCAGAAAGAGTCAGGAGCCCAGAGGAGGGGGCAAAGGAGGTGAGGGGGTGGGGGCAGAAAGTGGAAATGAAAGCAGACAACAGAACATTGCTAGAGAGCAGGAAAGGAGGTGAAAGGAGACAATTTTAGAGAAGAAAATTTTTTGGTCGCTACCCGGATTCGAACCCGGGACCGTTGAATGAGAGGCCAACACCTTAACCTCTAGGCCACGAGAGCCCCCCCCCCCAATCCTTAACTCAGTAAATTATACAGTCATTGTTAGACTGACTGCCCAAGAGAGATTGGCCCCACTGGTTCAGAAGTGAGTGAACTTAGCATCACAAAATGCACTCAATGGTGCCCAGTTGGGAGATAAAACTTAGGCCATAATGAATTAAAGATCTGCCACTCACTGAAATCTAAAAATCAGGATCTCAGGAAGGGGGGGGGGGGGGGGGGGGAAAAAAAATTACAAATCACCAGGGTAACTGCCAAGCAGACCTAAAAATTTTC